CTCACATCTGCCTTCTCTGGAAGCTGCTGGCATCTTCATAACTCCACCTTCTTTATCTTCTTTCTTCCTCTATTTCTGCTTGGATTTCCTACCATGCTATATTCTGCACTTCTACAGGTCAAAGCAGCTTTATTCATCTACCAAAAAAAGCAACACATATTCACAACATATAGGAGGACATCACACTTCAAATCTCTCTTTACATGTATTATTCTATCTGGCTCAACTTCAAGAGAATAAAAAAGCAATCTGGACAGTTTGATTGTTAAAAAATGTTTAATTTGTACTGTGCTTTATTGTGATCAGAGAGTAGAATTTCTGTGAATAAAGATGACTTTTGGTGAATATTTCTCCCTGAATGCAAAGTTACCCTCCTCTGAGAACACTTCTTTCACCATGAATAATTAGGTAAAGTTAAAATTCAGAAACACAGTCTAAAGGGAGTGAAACCAGCTAGAACTTCAGTGTACCTACTCTAGGGATCCTAAGAATGTGTTAACCCCTGGCTGCCAGTTCAATTGCAGCCAAAAATCCAAGCAGCTAAGAACTCCTCGGGGAAGGCAGGGTGGTGAATGGGGACCTATCATAATACATACCCCTTCTAGAAAGCAAGACTCCCAAGCAACTTTCTTCTGTTCTGTGGCAAGCGGAGGTAATAGAACTTCTCTCTGTGGACACTAAGAAGGCCTTGCTTGTCCTGTGGTTTTGGCCATTTATATTCAATTTATGCTTTTAATTTTCTGGAGAGAGCCCAGAGAAGCACACTGCCTGATGGAGTGTATGATACTGTTTGGTAAACACAAAATTGAAAAAAAAAGTGCTAGAGTATCTTTGTACACTTTCAGAACAGAATTAAGAGACTTCTTAAGTCCTGGGGAAAAAAAAAAAAAAACGATCCTCCACCTTATCCGCATTAACCGAGTGTACATATGGAAAGCTGAGGAAAGGAGCTACAGTGGGAGGAGACATTGAGGAGACAGGCTATAGTATTAGGCACAGCTGAACTGGACTTAAATGTTGGTCCCACTAGCTTTCCTAGTGGGAACATTATAGCCATGCAAAATCTGGATTTCACAGTGAGAAAAAAATCAAACATAACACTTCTCACTCTGAATCACTTTACCCAAAAGAAGGTTTGAATTGAAACCTTTATTACTGCCAATAAGTAAGTTTACCTAAATAATCTCAAGCACTTTGGAAGGAAAGCAAGGCAACTATTGCTTGGCAGACAAGAAGCAGAGGGACGGTGTCCTAGAGAAACCTCTGCTGCTCTTGAGTTTGCTAACAGATCTCCTCTTCTCTGCCTCTCATCTCTAGAAGAGTCTACCATGCAAATTATAGAAAAAAGGACCTTGAACATGCTGTCTTATTAACATACATTTTTGCTTGTCATTGCCTATGAATGATGTATACACTTAGTGGTTGGAAAGGTTAAAACAAGATATTTAAATCCACTCAAGTTTAGAAAATGTCCATAGAGACCACTGAGCCCTGATGTGGGATTCCTCTTTGTATATTATGGGTTAATAAATAAACTGCCTTGGGCCCATCACAAGGCAGAATAGAGTAGAAATTCCAAGCAGAGGTAGAGGAGAAAGTAGGCAGAGTCAATGAGATGCTATGGAGCTGCTGCTGAAGGACGCAGGGGTCCCAGAACTTTACCAGTAAACCATGAGCTTTGTGGTAAAATATAAAATAATGAAAATGGGTTAATTTAAGATATAAGAGCTAGCTAGCAATATGCTGATGCTATTGGCAAAGTAGTATTTTAAATAATATAGTTTCTGTGTAACCATTTTGGGTCTGGGCAGCTGGAAACCAACTAGCACCCTCAGTCAACAGATTGGCACTCAGGGTAGGGCTGACTAAATTCTTGTAAAACCTGAGAAAGCTTGGAAAGGATTTCTAGACACAAAAGAACAGAGTTAAGCATGGCTTCTTGGTAACTAGCACTTTTTCTCAGATGAGCTCTGTTTGCTAGCAGTGAGCAGGGGCACTGTGGCTCTTTTAAGAGAGATCATCCTGACTCAGAATTAGCAGCAAAACAACTCACACAGTTTTGAAATGGCAGCCTCCTTGTTCATGCTTCCAGCACAAACTCTGGAACTTTCAGGAGACTGAGCAGGGTTTGTGAGCAGCATGTTACTTGTTGCTTAATCAGGTGATATAGACCTGCTATGACCCTGAAGCCAGGCAGCATGCATGGCTCTCAGAGGCAGTAAACATGCCTCTACCATGTTGGACTGGGCAGACCCAACAGACAAGACTGCAGAGGTAGTCCTTATCATGCCTGCTTAGCATTAAAAATAACACTCCTGGTCAGAAAATAATTACAGAAATGCAATGCAATAAAGACAGATTCAGATGAAAATGACCTCTAAATGGGTCAGTGTTGGATAAATGTATGTAGACTTGGAAGAGAGAAGAAAAAGAATATAGACAGTTATAAAAAGAAGTAAATGGTTTTTTTAAAAAAATAAAGCAAAATCTTTAAAGAGACAGAGTTCAGACAATCATAGATTAAAGGAGTAAAGAAAAATAAGCCACATAAAGATGGAAATACACAGTCTGGATTATTTATATTGTGTTTTCTTTCAATTGTTTGACTGTGAATGAACTAAGCACAGAGAGACATTTTATTGTATGGGCTGCTAAGTTAGACCAACATATTTATTTTAAATGTATCTTGACTTCAAAATTTGGGTCTAGGGATATGTTGCTTTGGAAAAGAGGTTCTGATTTTGTTTCCACAGAAATCCTGTGGATTCTTTCTAGGCTAATGTAGTTTAATGGAAGAAGACCCAGCTCCCAAAAGGTCTCTGTGAACCCAAAAAACAGCAAAGAGCAGTTTGGAGAGTACTATACCCAGGTTCCCAAATATTGTTTATGAATGTTTGTTTCTGTTCAATCATCTCAGGTCTGGGCAGTTGGGAATAAAGAAGCAGCCTCAGTCAATACAGACCCTCACATTCCTTGCATCTGTCTTCAGAATTAAATTTAGACAGGATATTTTGATTGAAGTTTTAAGTTCCACATTCAATGAACAGTCATTAAGAGGGAAGAAAAGTTCTCAATCCATTGTGAAACCTGGTAAGAATCGACAATTTCTCCAAATTAAGTCCTTTCATACTGTTTTTATTCTGAGTGGAATCACGCATGGGTTCCCAGGCTGATAATGGGAATTCTGTTTACACAGAGTAAATTAATAAAGTCAGAAACAAATAATATCCCAAAATATCTAGGCATGTCTGTGTAAATATAACTCTAGTTGTTATAAGAGTAGGAACCTGATTATTCTTACTGTCTGTCAAACCTATCTTATATACTTTACTTGCATTGACTAAAGTAATCCCATCAATTTATGGGTCAGTGCATAGTTACTTGGGGTGTCTTAATGAATGAGTATAAATCAATTGGTATAAAATAACAAAAGCATTTTGTTGTTTTGGCAGTTTTCGTGATTAAAATTAGGGTCTTCCATATATTAAACAAACATTCTACCACTCAAATCCATTTACAGCACCATAAATGTATGCTTTCACAGTGGTGGGGTCCTCAAGTAAAAGGAATGACATTATGTCCCATGTCCTTCTAGCAACTCACAGGTATTTGTTCTATGCCTCTCTTCTGGCTTCTCAGAATTTCCTGGAAATTATTGTTGCTTCTTTGTTTGAGACTATGCTCTGACCAGTCTTCATAAGGCCTTTTCCTTTGTGTGTCTCTCAGTTATCTTTGGTTGTGAAATTTAAGAACACTTTAACTTTAGAACGATATCACCAGAAAATTATATTAATTGCATGTGAAATGGTCCCCATTCCAAATACGGTCACATTCTGAGAGTCCATGTGGGCACATTACCAACCAACTACAGTCCTCTAGTCATAGATCTTAGTTTCAGTTAAGTTGCTCAAAGTCACAAAGAGGAAATCAAGCATAGAGCATGAATGTTATTAAACATGTGAATTATGAGAGACTTTCTTTTACTGCTCTGTTGTAAATTCCTTTTCTTTCTCTGTTTGGAGAATTGGTGACTATATTAGTCAGCTTCCAGTAGCTATAACAAATACCTAAGATATTCACCCTATACAAAGCAAAGGTTTACTTAGGTTCACACTTCCACAAGTTTCAGTCTATAGTTGGTCAGTGATATTGGTGTTAAGCTCATGTAGATTGTATTGCATCTCCTCAGAGTACATGTGGCAGAGAAGAGTCACAAGTCTACTGGCCATGAAGTGAAAGAGGAAGAACTCAGACTATATTTTCTCCTCTGAGGCCATGCATTCCAATGAATGGAAACCTATCAGTAATCTCTATCTCCTAATGGCTCTAGCACCCCCACACCATCCTGGAGAGGAAACCTTTGAGGCTTGCTTAACTCACAATCTACAGTCCATGATTCACATGCATCCCAGGACAGCTGTGAATGTGGTGAAATACTTCCGTAGACTGCATTATCATGTCAGTCAAAAGGCTAAGTACTCCTACTTCCTCAAGAGCCTTTGAAGGTTTGGTTTTCAAGTTTCTGTAGCATAATGAGTAAATATACATGAGAATCGATGTATGTAGTGAAAAGTTTAGGTGGTCAGAGATGTCTCTGATCCCCTACCACACATTCCTTTAGTTAGATGGACTGAGTGCACATCTTATATAAGCTATGCAGTTACTAGTTCACAACTTTAGTATGCTCTGGTTGATGACATTTCAGGGACTGAAACCACAATGGCTAGAGGAACACCCCTTTCTTTCATTGCCCTTCAATGGACATTGATCAGATGGGGAAGGGAGCAAAAGCTCTACATTTTTACCTCAAGACAGGATTGATACCAGCCTTTTCCTGACGTCACATTACTGCTTACCTTGGCAATGGGTCTGCTTGGACTTCAGAATCAGAAACAATTAGGTATTTACTGAACAAGATCCACTCTTTCCCTTTAGCTGTATTTGTTTGTTTGTTTTTGTTTACTTTTTGGGTGATTTCTTTTCTCCCTTTTTTCCCATAGAACCTTCATCTGGCGATGGATGGAGATAGAGACAGAGACCTACACTGGAGCACAGGACTGAGCTCCCAAGGTCCCAATGAGGAGCAGAAGGAGGGAGAACATGAGCAAAGAAGTCGGGACCACGAGGGATGCACCCACCCACTGAGACAGTGGAGCTGATCTATTGGGAGCTCACCAAGGCCAGCTGGACTGTGACTGAAAAAGCATGGGATAAACAGGACTCTCTGAATATGACAGACAATGAGGGCTGCTGAGAAGCCAAGGACAATGGCACTGGGTCTTGATCCTACTTCATGTTCTGGCTTTGTGGGAGCCTAGCCAGTTTGGATGTTCACCTTCCTAGACCAGGATGGAGGGGGGAGGGCTTTGGACTTTCCACAGGGCAGGGAACCCTGACTGCTCTTCAGACTGGAGAGGGAGGGGGAGAGGAGTGGAGGGACAGGGAGAGGAGTGGGGGGACGGGGAGAGGAGTGGGGGGAGGGGCAGAGGAGGGGGAGGAGGGGGAGGGAAATGGGAGGCTGTGAGGAGGCTGAAATTTTTTTCTTCAATAAAAAATAATAAAAAAATAAAAAAAATATTTTGCAGCATCCTACATTATCTAGACCTCAAGATGCAGCCACCTCGAGGTAGTCATCTACACAGGTGGCAAAAGGAACTCAGAGGTAATAGACATGGAAGCTTCTGTGGGGAAGTGAATGCACACCTGAAGAACGAGGAGAAAATGCAAGGGTCACAGGTCACAGAGTGAATTTTACTGTGTGTGACATCCTTGCTGAAATCTTATCCCACAGGGCCATCAGGTGAACAATTAGGGAAAGTGGCTGAAATTGCTTCCATGTTTTTTTTTTCTCCTCCTAAAAATATTTATGCTGAGAGTGCTGGACACTAGATGTGCCTGCACGTGTGTGTATGTATGTGCATGGAGGAGTGTATGTAAACATATGTGGAGGGGTACAATTGTCCATTTATTTGTTTGTCTACCTGCCCATATTTGTGCATATCTTATACTAGCATCTCTGCCTTCTTTCAGACCTTGCTTCATCGTTGTTTTTAATGATGCCTAGCACTCTCCTTACTGTTCCTGTAACTATGATTCTGCACATATTAAGAATGTAATTGTGACTCTGTTTAACAGGTGTTTATTACTTAATAGGAGACACAGAATAAGTACCCTTTACTTATAATTTATCCATTTATCTTCTTTATTAAAAATACCTCTCATTCCTAAAGGACACCTCTATTCATGGGGCCTTCCCTATTCTTTCTGGCAAGTGAGTCAGCGCCATGCATCCTAACATCCTGTAGAGATATCCTCGTGGATGCCACTATTGTACGCTACATCTGTCTCCACAGCTATGGGGTCCTTTAAAATAAGGACAGTGGTATGGATTTCTCATCAGACAGGGATTAAATGTTACCTGAAACATTATGACAACATGCACAAGGCCTAAACAATGTGAATTTCAGTGTGGAGCAGGGGAGGTGGTCATGAAGAGCAATTGATATTTGATAACTACTGAGAGAAGATGAGATCAGATTTTGTTAATGATGTGACCCCTAGTTGGGTCTACCATACTCCCAGGCAGGTCCCATATTCAATAATAGATTTGTATTTTATGAGCTTAAACAGAAAAGAATATGGAGTTGGGTGGGTGTGGAGGTGGTGTAAGTCTAAGAGGAGGTGGGGGAAGGGAATGAATATGATCAGAATACAATCCATGAAATTCTCACACAACTAATAGGGGTATAAAATATAATAAAATTATGAAAAGTGAAGAAGTAAAAACATGGAATATTAATATTGACCTTTTAAAATATAGAATTCTTACCTACTTGGTAGATTAAATGAGTGACCTGAATTTTTCACCCTTTCATTCCATGGTCTCATAAGTATTTCACTCAGCAGTGGCATTTGACCAGATATGAGCAGGTGTCAGTATTAAGCCCAGGCTTTAAAATATGTCACAATTCTTTGTTGTTCTTTGCTTTTTGCCATCACTCTGGGTAACTTCCTACAGCCTATGTGAACTGTAGAACCACACTTACACCAAGGCTCAAATAAATCCCAGTACAGCAACAGAAATGTCCTATAGACCTGTAGAAATGGAATCATGAAGGATTTTTAAGGCATTGAGTTTTAGAGTGATTTGTTAGATAGAATTTTGATGACAATAACTGATATTTCAACCATACTTAGTTTTGAGAAAACTTAAATCAGACAATTCATGACAAATGCTCACCACAGACCCAAGAATATAATACAAAGTCTTTAATGGAATCTAAATTCAGTGAACCTGTCTAGGCTGAGGTTGGTGCTTTTTCTGACATTTTCTGGAAGTATTTGGCAGGAAGTATAGCAAGATGCTGGACTTTACATGAAGAGGCCTCAGAAGATTCAATTTTAGGAAGAAAAAGAAGACATAGTGTGGTAACACACCAACAGAGAGGGGCAATCGATATACCCACTCCTGCTATGGCAGTGTTTTGCAAGCTTTCCTACAGCATCTGTCTCCTTACTTATGTCTACTACTATGTCCTTGTCTATATTTCTGAATCAGATCTGATTGCATGCATCACTAATCTTTCTCACTCTTTTTTCTCATTCCATATCTACATAGGCACACTCTAATTATTTCTCACATCACTTCACCATATTCATTCAGCATTTTTGTTATGCCATCTCTATTTAATTTGCATTGAAGACCATACTATGCATGTTTCTATCTCAGTACCTCCAGCATGTCCATGCTCTGTGTTACAGACTTCATCATTGAGGCCAAATATCTGAATCAACAATTTGATTCAGAAACTTATCATAGCTCAAGTTTCACAGGTTTGAGTAGATAGTCATGTTCTTTGGATGTGGGCCCATGGTGAGGCAGTGAAACAGAGCAGCAGGAATAGATGTCAGAGGCTACTAGCTTCCTAGGGGGCAGGACTTCTCTTTCCTCTCAGTTTATGTCTTGTGGGCCCCCAGCCTACAGAGATAGATCTCCTTCCACCCCTTAGGAGACTAAGCTAATAAAGTTGCCAGTTAAGATAAACTGTGACAGGCAGTCTCCAGACAGAAGGTCTAGAAACTTTCTTGCCACTGCTTCTGATCTCCATGCATTTTTTTCTGTCATTAATTCTTTCTTTTTAATCCAACGTGTTCTTTTCTTTTAGAATCAGCAGAAATATAACTGCTGTTTCCAATGTTATGCTGTCAGATTCAGGGTGCCGGCGCTGGGATTCTAGCTCACATCTTGATTGCTGTTGTCATCATCTCTGGTTCATGAGATGACAGAATGCTTTTACTTGTTTTGGGTTTATCATGCCCATCCTGGGTTAGTTCAAACAGAGCATAAGGCTGAAATAATCTTTTTCTTGCCCCGCTGCAATGCCTTTAGGAAAGATGTGAGGAGTGATAGTGAGGTTGAGCAGGAAGGAAAGTACTCCAGGGGTGCTGCTATGAGTTTGCAGACAGACACCCCAGATGTGAGAAGATTAATTCCTCTAGGAAAGAGGATAGCAGAATACTAAGTGTCTCTCAGGTGCCCAGTGTGTTCTCTCATCAAGAAAGAAAAGAATCTTTTTTTATGGTGTGGAGAAAAAAAAAATGTTTCTTTATGGTGTGACTTTGGGTGGATTAATTGGGCAGGGAATGCAGAAAAACAAACCACTTAAGCCTGCTTTCTGAGAGCCCTGTTTTCCACGAGGGCAGCACTGGCTGTGATTTCAGTTTTGTCACCTGTGTGATCCTTCACCAAAACAAAGGTGATGACATCCCAGTCTCACCAAGGGTGATTGGCTTCTCACCTTCCAGGTGTGAAGAAGAAAGGGCTGGGGTGGGGGCAGTTAACACAGGAATGTCTTTGCTCGCTGGTCTTCCCTCACTGACTGTAACTGCACGGGGCAGTCAGGAACTCTGCCCCACTTGAGTGGACGGACCCACATGGGGGAAAGGGCGACATTGAATGCAGCTGGCCATCATTTGAGTTCTAATAACAGAAGAGGTGCAGACAAAATAAGCTGTTGGGGTAAACTGCCAGGTGGATTAGCTGTGTCTAACTGGATGTTGAAGTCAGGGGTCAAAGGATACGCTGATTGGTGAAAACTTTTGATGCTTGAATTTTGCTGTAGCGATTAGTGCCAATTAGAATGACACCAGAGAAGAGGCTGGGAAGCTGGAGGCCCTTGGGTACATGTCAGGAGAAGGATTTTGACAGTCGAGGTGCAAGAAAAATGGGTGATTAGGAAGCATAATTTGCTCAATTACTTGTGATTTGGCAGAAGTTGGTTTTTAGTATTGTTTTTGTAACCTGAAAATAGGGGCTTTTTAAGCCTTTGAAATGAGGGTAAGGTGTGGAGGAATAATTTAACTCAGGGCAGACTTTAAAAACTGTCATGCTTGATTGACTTCACCGTAGGTTCAGGCTGCCATGATATCTCAGAGATGGACACCAAGAGAAAGGGAAACTGTCAAACATTGGTGGTAAGCCAGGATCGTTAGATTCCACCACTAGTCACATTAGGGTCCCTTTCCTGAACGACCACGGAAACAGGGCAGAAACTGGCAGACTAGGTGACTCCCTGCTTGGGGAGGTGATGATGCACTGTCCAACTGTCTTATGGCCTTCTGTGCAAAATATGGTCATCTGGTCGACTCTTAGAGTTCAAAATCTACACATTGAATATCAGCACCGTAAAACCACAGCAGTAGGTGAGGAAATCGTATGATAATACAGTACTTCCCATGTACCTCGCAGAGAGCTACACAATTGGCACCTATGTTAACTAATTTACCCTTTTCACCATGAAGTATTTTGGTTTCCATAACCTACTGTTTTGCAGGTGAGAAAACTCTCTGTAGTGTGCTGAGTTTTAACACAGGCACAGGGCTAGGAGGGTGGTGGTATAGACATGGGCTGATCCTAGTCTTTCTCAGGAGATACTTCCCTCACTGAGAGTAGGTGTTGGCCAATAAACCATGGCTTAATTCAGGAACAAACCTTCATTAACTTGACCAAAAGGTTAGGCAGTCCACATTGAGACCAAGGCACAGGTGTTT